TTACCCATAAGGTTTTTTTTGTTAAAGTTTTTAATGAGGTAATATTAACATAAGCATGTGTCATATTTTCTATTTTTCCATCATATTTTTTTATGGAAAATATCAAAGACATATATTGCCCTCACAACTCATTCATGATTTTTCCCTGAAAAGGTTTTTCATGTGAGTTATCCAGGAGACAATATCAATAATATGTCATCACATTTTCACATGAGGGTACCAAGGGTCTAAAATTAATATTTACATGAGGTAAATATAGTATGCTACAGACATCTTAAAACCTGAGGGCTTAATCATGAATCTGATTATAATAATAATTCATGAAAATTATTATGTAATTCACAAGTAATAAGGGGGATTTTGTGCCAAATGCACAACCTTATCCTTCCAATGGACGGTTCCTATACGGAACGTCTTGTTCTCGTAGTAGCCGGTGGCCGCAGAGTCATGGGTGAAAACATCCGCCGGTGGAAACCGGCCCGCGGGGCCTCGGCCGTGGACAGCCCAGACGCGGCCACTCGGCCGCGAGTGCCAGTGGTGCCGTTAGCCGTCTGGCTTTGAGCGCTCGGCAGCGGGCTGTCTGGCCGCGAGCGTCCGGCCGCGGACCGCTTGACCGCGCGAGGCTTGCGAGCCCCGATGCCATCGCCGATGGGGCAGGTGCGCCCCCACGACAGACAACGCGTGCGGGCGCCGACGCAGGTCGGGCGGGCGGGCGTCACCGCTGCACTACGCTGGATCCGCCAGGTCATTGCGAGCGAACTGCCGTCGGGCTGCCTGCCGCCGCAGACGTTGCCGCAGCAAGTGCAAACGTGCGGGTGCGCGAGCACCGCTGCCGGCCGCCTCGACGCTTATGGGAATGAAAAGCATGGTGCCAGTGACCGCTGTTGGGGCGTGCCAGGTGCTGGAGTCGTTCAACGCCGCTACCACGACAAGTCGATGAGTCATGGCCTCGGGCCAGTCGCAGCCGCTGCCGCAGGCTGGGCACGCAGGTCCCGCCGCCGCCGCGGTTGCCGACGACGTTCATGCGTGGGCATGGTGAGCTCCCGCAACAATTGCTCCAGAGCGGTCAAATTGGTAAGAACTTTTAATGGAAAAAATGTTCTTACCGTGAGCATTCATCCTCAGAAGATTTTCTTACCGATGAGCATTCGTCCTCGAAGAACAAAGCCATCTTCGTCTTGCTGCTGAGATGGAGTGCAAACGTCGATGATAAGGAAGAACTCTTGTTTTCATCTGATCAAAGTGCTGATAAATATATTTAAATAACAAGATGGAAGAACTCTTGTTTTCATTGAAAAGGAAATATATTTTATACAAGTGCCATTTCTAAAAGACATGCCATTTGGAACTAAAATTAACTGTCTAATCCTATCAACTAATCCTGTGCTTGACGGATGAGATCACTCGTGAAGAGACGTCTGTTCGTCTGTAGACGTCCGTTCGCGTATAGGTGTCGTTTCACGACAGTCGCACGGCATGGGTTCTGCAACACTTGCTGCTTCAGCAGCTCTGAATGCGTCGGTCCAGTTGCCGTTGGGAGTGGCCAGTGCCAATGGCCACCAAACTGACGAGTCCTCGCCGCCTGTCAAAATCGGAGAAAGCGCCGTGCACCAAGAACCGAAATCGAAATGTTTGTGGGCGAAGCAACGCGCACTTTGCCCCCTCATCAGCTTTTGGCGCCGGCGTTTGCTCGTCTTTTCTGGGTGCACATCGTCTTCAGGTAGCACGTAGGCGTTGGGTGCTTCAAGCTTTGTCTTCCTCTCTTTTTGGGTGCTCATCCACTGGGTTTAACTTGGGAAAGTTAATGGGAAAATGGTGGTTAGCTCCTAACGCATATCATCTGGAGCAGGATATATGACTTTTCCTTCCTAGCTATATCATCGTGATCACTGCCTGCTGCTTTGTGATTGAATTATGATAATTATTGATTAACGGTCACAACCATGCATGCATGTTTTGTTTTCTGACCTACCACACGTCAAGCGGAAGGGGCATATATCTTGCACCCTGCAGGTTATCCTATAGCTGTACGTGTACAAACGTATCAGGTGCGCACAGAAAATTTGGTGTAACCAACCGCGTACTAAGGACACACGGCCGGCCATACGACTCTCAGCAGGTACTTCATCAAGTTTCGTCTCCATATGACCATGTCAGTTTGTATGGAATTATTTGACCTAGTTCATTTCGTCTCCAACAGGCAACAAGGTTCCATTTGACCATTTCTTTTCCAAACAGATCGATCTGCTCTTCGCCTGCATACGCAATACATACTGCTCTGTTATGCATAGCAGAACTGTAGCAGGCTGCCAGGCTAGCAGCTCGAATTTTCCAGGTTCCGATACTGCTTGAGTACGCTAGCTACTGCCAGTGTATCACTGACGAGAAGGAGAAACTTGACACCTGATAGCGAGCGATCGATGATGCGAGAATCGCAGAACATGGCAAAGAACACACGTAGCCAGTATCATCGACCATCCATCTCCTTTCTTTCCCGAAAAGCGATGCTGTAACAGACGGCGTGCAGGTGAGGGAAGGTGATGGATGGCTCGCAGAAAAGCATATCGAATCCTTGAGCTCTCGACCGATCGCTCGATGGACCGGCATGCCATGCTTAAAACCCAAGTAAAATGCGTGGGAGCCGCCCTACTTATATGTAATAAACAATGCAAATAACGAAGGGAAAAGGTGTTTAGGAGCCATCCCCATTGTGCCATCACTATGGATTCTATTATCCTGAGCTGTCTTGTCGAGGTGGCGGCACAGCATAACAGAATAGTCGATACCGACTGCCTAGCTGCAGCCGACATGATGCGTGCATGGTCATGCATGGGTAGGATGAAATGTCAATCTCGGTAAAAGGGGAGGAAAATCGAGAAAATATTACCAACCTGTCCTTGTTATTAATTCACCTGAATTTAGGTAGAACGAAAAAGATCAAGGCTGTTAGCTAGCTTTTTTTCGTGAGAGCGCGAGGCTACCAAAATGTGGTGTTTATATTAGGGCCGGGGGAAATGAACAATAATAGTGCTTCACATGAGAGCGATCGAGAGCACAACTGATGCTTTCATGGATCCCCTACATATACTTATTATTAGGAGAAGCTAGCCAGTGTGCTAATTATGAAAGAGATGAACGATGATTACATGTTGGCTAGCTATATATTGATCAGTGCTATATATGTACCTAGCTGCAGCTCTAATTTGAGGGCGCTATTAAGCCTTTGTGGCATAATAACCGTACCTAGCTGCAAAATGATGCCTGCTGGCACGTACTCATAACTCATCAGTCGCAGATATTGATATGCTGAACAACAACGAAGGCAGTACCGCGAAGTGGTCCAAGGACCGACCATATGGTGTCCGCTAGGCGCTGGGCAGATAGACCGGATTAGGACCGACCTGCAAGCGGTACGCAAAACCGCTAAACACGAGGCGCTGGGCAGATAGACCGGATTAGGCAACTTTGTCCGGCAACAACTGCAAGCGCGAGTACGCAAAACCACATTTAACCATGCATGCGCCTAAAAACACGAGCTGGCCGGAAGAGAAATCGATCGGAGAGAAATCGATCAAAAAGGTAGTACGGTGGTCCTGAGGTTTGCCTTTTACACAAAGCAACATACACACACAATTACTCACCCACACACGCAGTCATGCACCAATGGATAGATGTACGCCATCACCATGTCTCCTAGCTATGTGTATCTCGACGACTCGCCGATCTCTCCGTCCGTCCTACGGCAGGGTGCATCGTGCATGGCTGGCGCCAACAATTAAACCGATCGACTAGCATGGCACTAGCAGGCAGGGAGGCAGGTCCTCCGCGTACGGCGAACACCGGAAACGACCCATCGCACAGTACGCGCTGCACACTGTGCTGCCACTGACTCACTGTATCGGAATAACTACGCGCGTACGAACGTGTACTAGCAGTACTTGGTGCTCGCCAGGCGTCGATCGCAGCCGGCCGGCAGCTGTGTGATCTTCGGCTCTACGGAAGCGCCCGGACGGCCGGTGTCTGTCCCCACCACGGGAAAAGGCCCTTTTTCCCCGGACACGGGGTGAAAGCATGTGATCCCTTCCGTCGTTTCCCCGATCGGACTCGAGAAAACCAGCCGGATAAAACGCCGGCCGATGCCGATCCCGTCGTACCCCGCGAGCGCTGGCGCGGCCACGGGCACGGTACGCTCCCGAGTCCCGATTTCGGAGTCCCCGGCCCGACCGCCGCATTTACCCGCGGCAACCGCGCCGTACCACGGTGCCCGCGTAGCATTGACCCCCCCCCCCCGCGCGCCGCGTGCGGTGTGCCACCATTCCTGGGTCCTGACCCGCGCGAGGCGGCCGCTGCCCGCTGCACCATCGCGACTCCAGCTCCACCCGCCACGCGCGACCGCTCGTGGTAGCGGGTAGTCTCTGGGGACTGGCCGCCTCTGGTTGTAAGTTGTAACCACAACTGGCTTCCGCCTAACCCAGGCTGTAAAGATTTCGTCTCCTCGCTCGCGCTCGCGCACACGCACACGCGCGCAGGCGCAGGCACACCACCAGCCGCACCACGCACGCGGACCAGCAGGGCCAGAGCCAGCCACTGAGCCAGGCAACCAGCCCACACCACACCGGCTGCTCCCCACCGGCCCACCACCCCACTCCGCTCCACTAACCAACGCCCAGGATTTTTAATAATCCCGCCACAACCCAACCACTCCGCCCGCTTTCCTCCGCGCATTTCAAAATCAGCCAACACCACAGCAAAGCGAGGCGACGAGGGCTGCAGCGGTAACAACGTGGGATTAATCGTTAATCAACTGGGCAGGTAATCTGACGGGGGTAATAAAGCAGGGGGGATTAGTGCGGGGTCGTTTGAAGCCGGGTATAAAAACTGCGAGGCTACCAAAGGCGACCTCGCGAAAAACTACCTGGGCCGCCACCAACACCGCCACAGCCTCGCTCCCGCCTCCCGAGCCGAGCGCGCAACGGAACTAGCTGCCGCCGCGGCGCGCCATGGCGCCGTTCCAGATGCGGTTCGGACACCAGATCTCTCCCGCGCGCTCCGACGACGCCGAGGAGGAGGAGGAAGAGGACGACGAGGAGGAAGAGCTTGAGGAGGAGTATGACGAGATGGAGAGCGAGGGGACGGCCTCGCCGCCGATGATGCTCCGGGCAGGGAGGGGAGCAGGAGGAGGAGGAGGGGGAGGGCTGGTGGGAGCCGTCGTGGGGGCGCTGCGGAGGTCGCTGGTGATGTGCAGCGCCGGCGCCGTGGGTGTCGACGACGACGACGAGGAGGACGGCAGCGAGGACGAGGGGATCGAGATTGGGCGGCCCACGGACGTGCGGCACGTCTCGCACGTCACCTTCGACCGTTTCGGCGGCTTCCTCGGCCTCCCCGCCGACCTCGAGCCAGACGTGCCGCGGCGCACGCCCAGTGCCAGGTGAGCTGCTCGCCACTGCCGTGCCGTGCGAATGATTCATAAGCGTTCATTACTTCTTCTTTTTTTTGTCTCTTGGATTTTTCCCTTTAGCAGCCTGTAGCTTTGTGTGCCTTGATTTTTTTTTTCGACTGCTTCCGTGACGGAATTGTAGCTTTCTGATGAAGTGGCCGTTGTCCAAACACGCTGCGTGAAAAACGGTGTGTTCCTAAATTCAGTTTGAGTGGCACGCTGTTTTCAGCGGGCGTTCCTAAGCAAGCTGGCGGAAGTGAGCTCTGAGGTCTGAGCTGTGTTTTGTTCTTCTCTGTGTTTAGCAACGATACAGTTCTGTATAAGGTGGTTAGTTAAGGTGTTCGAATTAATTAGTAGTAACTGAACAAGTTGATCTCGTGAAGAGAGACGACAGACAGTACTTTTAAAGTACTACGAGTTGTTGTTTTCTGTATCAGCAAGTACAGATGAGAATTTAGTTATTTTGGATTGTTCACTCTGCTCTGCACCTGGCGTAGAACAGATTCTGAAGATGAATTTTCAGGACATATTGTTCTGAAGATAAATGCATTCTTATGAAAAAAATTGTTTATAGGATATACTTACATGGGTAATGGTATATTGAGCCCTCAAGTGAATTTTGTCGCCAAACTTGATCTGCCCATGTGCTTGAACTTGAAGCAACAAGGCTGTTTGAGGTGGTTGGCCTGTTGGGCAACATGGGGCAACTAATAAAGAATCTTATAACCTATCTTTTATTTTGGGGTATGTTCATTTGTACTTGCATCAAATATGGTCTCAGACGTTTTTGTCTTTTTCCATTTTAAAAATGGCTTTGCATGGCATTTTTAGGTTGTTGAAATAAGATCAGGATCTTCTTCAGTTGACCTATTCGATTGAGCTAAGGACTATGGACAGTTTCCTTGCCATGTTTGCTGTCACATTCTATCTCTTTACTAGTAGTTGTTGCCAATACAGTGTTTAGCTGTTATGGTGACCTGAATGCCATATGGCCTTTAAACATGTCCCCGTTCACTATTTGTGCTAGTTTCTAACTTTTTCCAGGCCAAATTCTACATGCAGTGTAAGTGTATTTGGAATTTCACCTACCTCTCTGCAATGTTCATATGATCGAAGAGGAAACAGCGTGCCCACAATATTGCTAATGATGCAGAGGAAGTTATATGAGCGTGAAGGACTTAAGGTATACCCAACCGAGCAAACAAAGTTAGAATTGGAATGTTAGTATTCAGCCCTGTAGTGACGCTTATATATGCCCACTTTTGTCTTAGATTGAAGGGATCTTTAGGATTAATGCAGAAAATAGCCAGGAAGTCTATGTCAGGGACCAATTAAACAGTGGAGTGGTTACAAATGAAGTTGACTTGCACTGCCTTGCCGGGCTGATAAAGGTACTTTGAACTCCCCAATTTACCATTGGTCTTCCATGTGATTTCTTTCTTTGACCTCCAGATTGAGAAAGAATGGAAAATGACAGCCAAAGATGCAGAGTTGCAGATAACACCTTAAGTGTTATGAATATCAAACAGTTAGGAGTTCGGAATAATTAACATGTAGTTATTTTTATTGTGGGATACCCAAGTTCCCATTACTTATTTATTTTCTTGTACATCATTCCATGATCTGTGTTGTGCCTTTTGTAGGCATGGTTTCGGGAGCTTCCTTCAGGTGTATTGGATGCACTAACACCAGAACAAGTAATGCACTGCAACACGGAAGAGGAGTGCGCTCTCTTTGCTTCTATGCTACCACCAGTTGAAGCAGCATTACTTGATTGGGCCATTAATCTGATGGCTGATGTTGTAGAGCAAGAAAACTACAACAAGATGAATGCCCGGAACATCGCTATGGTTTTTGCACCTAATATGACTCAGGTTAACTGACATGCATCTTACTATGTCTGCAGATTATACAAGGTTTATACCTACACATACACTAATCCTGGCGTATTTCTCTTCCAGATGGCCGATCCATTAACTGCCCTGATACATGCAGTTCAGGTGATGAATTTCCTCAAGACTTTAATCATGAAGACATTAAAGGAAAGAAAGGAGAAAGATGGAGTACTTCAGGCATCGCAATCATGCTCTGGTTCTCCAAATGACCAAGATGAACATCAGATGTCAGAGCACTTGGAGAAACCTTCAGTTCTGTCAAGTCAAAAAGACTTTGATTTTCCCATGATTGATAGGGACACTCCTGTTCAAGTCCTTGGAGCTGAGAAAGCTCTCCATCATGACTCACAAATCCGTTCTGATGAGCCAAAAAAGTTTGGAATTGGTATGGACCACAAGAAAAGCCAAAGTGATGTTTCCTCTCTTGGCAGCGATTCGAACAATCGATTCAACAGTTCTGGAAGAGAATTCAGCAGTTCTGGAAGAGAATTTGGTAACAGAAATGGCGAAGGCTTGTTCGACAGATTTAGTTTTAGGAAAGGGGTTGAGAGGCTTTGCAGGCATCCCGTGTTTCAGTTGAGTAGGTCCATGAAGAAGTCTGCAGATGTCGTGGTCTTTGATGCCCCGCGAGAAGCAAGACAAGCTTGGGTATGATACAATAACGACATTGTATGTACTATGTAGTTGGTAATTCTGTTGTTTACACCTCTGTGTTTAGCTGATAAGCCATTCCCCTAGTTTGTGTGAGTAGAACCGGTTAGCCTGTAAGGTATTACAAAATCGAGGTTATCTGGTTGTATATTATCGCTGTTTACTTCTGACGAAAGTGTCTGGAGAAGTAGCATGTGGTATACGGAACGAACGAAAGCCACAGTGAACTCAGGCTCCGTGGCTCTGTGCTGCATACCTCAAACGTTAGTGATCTCTTGATGGTCTATTATAATCTTGCTGATATTCTGTAACCTTATTGGCCTGTACAACAACTATTAGTAAAAAACTGTTGCATAAATGCGTCTCCTCTTTTTTTAGTAGACATGCATTCACCAAGTGAATGAAATAAAAAGGATAAGAATGCATGGCTGGACTACTAGGACTGCTAGGTACCACCTTGGTGTTGTTTGGTTCGCCGTTTTGAACCCGCAGCCCCGGCCCTGTCAAATTATAGACCTGGAGCGAAGTCACAGGCGATGGGCCCCTTAATATAAGTCTAATAATATAATGATAATTTTAATAAGTGTAATGTATAAAAAAATTCTTTGAAACAACAAAAAGTTATACATCTTATATTACCTTAAAAATTTCTTCTAACATTTGTTTCTGCTGAAGTCATTGATAATGGCCTCAATATCAATTTCATCTAATAATTTCTTCGATGCATTTGAGACCTCAAATAATTCTTCAATAATTTCAGCTTTGAAAATGTTCTTTTGAGGAACCGTCATAGTGAATAGGATCCGCGCAATGGTTAGCGTTGCTTTGTATTGCTCTTAAAAATTTTTGAATGGCCTCTATCCTTCTCTTCTTTTTTCTTTTCTCGATGGCAACATGACTTCACTGTATATCACAGTAGTAAGAACAAATCCAGCGCAATAATCAACGTCGCCGCCAGAATAAAGATTGGGGTGACCTGGCTCCTCGCGTCGCAGCTGCGCGGTCCGTCCCAACCTCGCCCGCGTCCCTGCCGCTGCATCTGCCAACCCTGCGGCGACTACTGCACGGTCGCCGGCGACTCTCACTACCGCGGCACCGGTAACCCCGTCTCTCCAGCGGCGGCAGATCAGCAGAGTAAGGCCACCGCGAGCAACCCCACGGAAGGCAAATAGGCTCGAGCTGTTCCTATGGGCGGCGGTGACCAGAGGCGCGCGAACCCCCTGCGACGCTCATCGCGGCACCGGCACCAGCCCCCGCCCCGGAGACCAAGCCCACACAGGTCCTCGCGCCAGCCAAGAAGTGGCCCAACCATTATCCGTCCGCCGCTCGATCCTCGGGCGCCCAACCCAACCTCTCTGCGGCGACATCGATAGGCGACTCTCACTCGCTGCACCGGTAACGCTATAAAAGAAAGGTGAGAGCCGGAGGCACAAGAACCCCCGAGTTTCACCGCAGCCGCCGATGCCCCACCCGCTCATTTTTCCTATCCCCGAAGCGATCTCGCGCCCAAGAAGTGGCAACCCTTATCCGCGCATACGATCGGGCGCGCAATCGTCTCTCACCGATAGGGCTCCTCGCCGCGCTATCGAGGTGAGGATCGGAGCGCAAGATACGAGTTTCACCGCAGCGAGCCCGATGCCCAGTTTTCCTATCCTGAGCGATCTAGTGGCGCCACGTGGCGGCGAGCATCAATTGCCGTCGCGCCATGGACCGTGCTCGCATAGATCCGAAGTCTTCTATCTAAGCTAAGCGCCATTACCCAATCTTCTATCTAAGCTAAGTATTACCCATTGCTCTATGCCTACAAGTACTTTCAGACTTATCAATGGCATCAAGAGCCAGGTTGAGTGTAGATCTAGATCAGGGGTAGAAACACTAACCCTAATGACATGGACGAAGAGAGAGGGACTCACCAGAGCTCCTCAGCCGCCGTCACCATCGTCGTCGCGCGGGAAGAGACCCGCCGTCGAGCGGGCAGAACGGGAACAACCGCCGCTTCGGCTGCAGGTGTGTGCTGGCCTGTGGGCTCAAGCGTCAGCGCGCAGGCCAGGCCGGCCCCGAAGGGGCCAGTGGTGGCGCCGTATCCTCCTCCGACTACCACGCGCGGCCTCGTCTTCGGGCGTCGCCGGCGAGAGAGGGTCGAGGGGGAGAAAGTCAAATGAGGCTAGGGTTAGGGGAGGCAGACCGAGAAAAAAGGGGGGGCGCTCACCATGCTTCTCCACCATTGGAACCACCGCCATCGCGCGGGAAGGAAACCGAGCCGCCACAGACGTGAGCACTCGCCGCCGTGCGGTCTCCGTCTCGCGCTCGGGTCTTGGGCACCACCCGAGGGCCGCTCGACGGTGGCGCACTCAACCTCCGGCGAGCGCGCGCATCGGCGAGGGGCCCGCGGCAGCGCTATCATCCCTCTGGCCGCATCACGAGAACCACCGGCGCTCCACCAACATGGTCAATTTTTCAGAGAGTAGATAAAGACCAAAAAATACTCCTGAACTAATAGAATGTATTTTATTATCGTGTTTTTGCTGCAATAAAGTTGATTATCTTCTAATTAAATTCGAACCAATGGGAGAATTTAATTTTGAAGAGTAGTTATATGTCTTTCAAGTTAATTTATGAGTTTTATGCATTAATTATATTTTCTGCACAACGCTGATATAGAATTGATGCAAAAGCATCTTGTAAGTTTTATTTTTTAACCGACGAGATCACTCGGCTGCATGTCAACGGGCTGTAATACTAGGGTATGTGAATGAAAAGGCTTGGGTCAAGCCAGTTCATGATATTTTTTTGTTAGTTTACTAATTTTTTAATTAAATTAGAACCAATGGAAAGATTTAATTAGAAAATAAAATATAAATGAATGTTTTAGTCATCATGACTAAATTTTTCGTTACGGTAATTTGTATATAGATTTATCCCGCATGGGGAGAAGTTTGGCATAGTACTTATGCTAGTCAATCCTGCATGGCGGAAGAAGTTTTGTGATGACTCATATGTTATTGTATCCCGCATAGCGAGAGAAGTTTGGATAGCTCTTATGCTATCCTAGTATTGGCCATGGCATAGTAGAAATGTACCGTCATGGTCAATACTAACCAAAAGATAAGAAAAAGATGCAAGCGTGACTTGCAAAAGTACTGCTAATAAAAGACCTCGATGAGTTTTTGAAGTGGAATGAAGAAAGTGTACTCCTATACGGATCAAGAAATAACTTTGTTTGCATGACGTAATCATGGGAATGAAGTAAGTTATAAGTGTCTCATCGTTTACAGTTTTTCTAAATAGTTCTTGAAATTATGTTAGTAAAGTTCATGCCATATTTCGAGGGGGAGGAATAGTAAAATCAATTAAGAAAGATACTCTTCATTAAAAATGAGATAAAGATTAATTAAGATAAATGTGACCGTCGGAGGAGTACAACGGTCACAATAACGATACCCCTAAGCAGAGAAACAGCTAAATTTATGAATTTTGTAAAGTTCCGAGAGGAAGATAGCGTAGTCACTATCAAAGATATTAAAGCGGTGTTTAAAGCGCCATATAAGGTTTTAACAGATTGAATCTAAATAAGAAATTAGAAGATACACTATCTTTATAAAAGATGGGACGATTTAGGAGAGCACGGTATGTAGAGACCTATGACTTGAAGAGAAGCGGGACTGAGTGTCCACTTCAGTGATTCAAAACAATAAATTTTTCAATACCTGTTGATGTTGTATGACTTATACAACACCTGTTGTTGGCTATTCGAAGAAGATGAATAATGTAAACAAGGATCTTGTAATATAGGAGCCTGTAGAATTAATTGCCTCTTGGCAATGAAAAGCAACAACAGCCCCACATGAAAGTGCCAGTAACTGAGGCCTCAGAAGGTATCAAGGAATTAGTAAACTAGTTTTCTAATGACTGTGAAGTCTATGTTAGTGAAGAAATTCAAATGGAGGGTGATCACACCTCATTTGAAGAAGCCATAAGAAGCGTTTACTCGTTTGAATGGTAAGAAGCTATAAAAGTTGAAATGAATTCGATGAATACCAACGATGTTTGGGACTTAGAAGAAATTCCTAATGAAGCCAAAACAGTAGGCTGTGAAAGAGTCTACAAGACAAAATATGACTCTAAAGGGAATATGGAAAGATATAAAGCATGACTTGTAACAAAAGGCTTTACGCAAAGAGAATGAATAGATTACGATGAGTTTTCTCTCTAGTCTAATGCAAGGATTCTTTTAGAATCATAATGATGTTATTGGCACATTACGATTTAGAGTTACATCAGATGGATGTAAAGACGACATTCCTCAACGAGGATTTATATAAAAATATTTACATGGCACAACCTAAAGGTTTTATCGTGGAAAAAAAGAACGTATGTGATGCCGCCTGTAGAAATCCATTTATGGGTTAAAACAAATATCTAAATAGTAGTATTTGAAGTTGATGAAACGATAAGAAAATTTATGTTTAAAGAAAATGAGAATGACAATAGCGTTTATGCGAAGTTCAAGAATGGAAAATTCTTTTTACACATCCTGTGTATAGATGACATCCTACTCACTAGTAGTAATGTTAATCTGCCATTGGAGAAGAAGAAGTCTTTGTCCTCAAGTTTTAATGTGAATGATCTTGATGAATCCTCATTGGTTCGAGAAATTGAAATTCACCGAGATAGATGAAAAGGGGTATTAGGACTATCGCAAAGGCATACTTAGAAAAGATTCTAAAGAAATAAAGTATGCATGCGAGTAAATCTACGCCTGCTCCTATAGTCGAGGGTAATAGATTTGTGAACTTTTAGTGTTTCAGGAACCGATACGAGATCGATCAAATGAACATGGTTCCATATGCTTCAGCTGTTGGAAACTTAATGAATGTACAAGTAAGAACTTACCCCGACGTAGCTTACGTATCCGGGATACTTTGGCAGAAGTCCAGTCCAGATATAAATCACTGGAATAGAGTTAAGAATGTCTTGCAATTTTTACAAAGTATCATAGGCCTCATTCTGAGTAAGAAATAGCAAGTACTCTCAAATAGTTGTGGGTACAAATGTTAAGTTTTGGCGAGATGTGTAATGAAATCCACAGTAGTTGCTAACACTCGTAGTTGGAGTATTATTGTGGAAAAGTTCCAATAAAACAGTTGTGGTGTCATCAATGATGCATACCATAGTATAGCTTGTCATGAGACCTCAGAAACAGGCAAAAGTGGTTAAGGGAATATGTACCCGGATTTAACAATGGTAGTCAATAGTAATAACCATTTAATGTAGTTAACTCCTAAGACAACAGGTAAAGTGTGCTGTCAAACACATTGACATTAAGTTATATGTTGTAAAGGAGAAAATTCAGAATCATTTTGAAAGCATTGAGCATATAAGTACCAAGCAAGTACTTACGGATCCGCTTACCAAAGGCTAACCACCTAGTGCGTTCAGAGAACACACAACCGACATGGGTTTACGGAAAAGTCTATGGTTTCTGGATACTAAGAGCTTAGTTGAGAATCTGTTTCAAAATAGAGAAGTGCATTGTAGCTGCTTAATCTAATGGCAACTGACCGTGACGATAAGGCACGCTCTACGTACTGATATGCGATGGAATTGAAAAAAAGATAAAGTAAGTTAAGTTTAAGTCATAAGGTGAGAACAAGGGAGAGAATGTTAGATTGATCTCCACCAGTTGGCCCAACGACCAATTGGGCCCTTAATCCACGCTCTGATCGGGGACGCCTAGCCGTTCTTCTGGCTGATAGGCCCTCGTCGCGCAGCGCTATAAAGAGGAATGTGGGGGCCGGGATGCAAGACACGAGGTTCACCTCAGCCGCCAGCACCCCACCGGTTTTCCTATCCCTAAGCCGATCTAGAGGGCACGCTGTAAGCGACGGAAAGCGCCATCGCCTTCGTCGCCGCCACTGGACCGCGCCTGGACGGCTTCCCCGACTCCGACCCCAGTGGCCACGTTGCTATGGTGCCATGACCACGACTGCGCTTGACGACCCAAGTATTCTGTCTAAGCTAAATATTACCTACCGATCCATGCCTAGAAGTACTTTCAAACTTATCAAGAAGAAGACATCATTCTCTTTCTCCAAGGACAAAAGAACAGGTAACATTCACGCCATGATCCAAACAAAGAGCGTTTACGGTCTCTTGTAACAGCGAGGCCCGGTAACCGATTGCATTAGCGTTCCCGTTGCCACTGCGGAAACCAAACAGCACCTCAGTTGAATCTTAAGTCCGAACCGTTGTGATGCTTTGTCTCTTTTGCTGAAGCAGTCAGGCCAGTGAGGCAATGACCATGTGAAAGTGTACATCAGCCTGTGCAGGCAACGTATGCACACACAAAAAGCATGCCAATGCCAAGCGCATGTGCATGTGAATATATGCAACCTCAGGCATGTCTCCCAGGTCTCAAGTTTTCAATGCAAAAGGCATAAGATGACTCTGTCCCGTGCACTCCACTGCTCATCTCTCCTCGTTACGGCGCTGCTGTTCATTTTCCCTTCATCTGCAGCAGAGCCGCCTGCTCTCTTCATCTTTGGAGACTCCCTTGTTGATGCAGGCAACAATGACTACCTCGTGACCCTTTCCAAGGCCAACGCACAACCATATGGCGTCGATTTTGGATTCTCCGGTGGCAAGCCAACCGGAAGGTTCACAAATGGCATGACCATTTCAGATATCATGGGTAATGTCAGGTCTAAGTTTCATGAATAACTGTGATTGCATATATACTTGGATTTAACGTTTCAGGCACTGTGCTGTCAGGTGAATCCCTGGGGCAGAAATCTCTTCCTCCACCCTTCTTGGCCCCGAACTCAAGTGCTGCAATGACCAACAGCGGGATCAACTATGGCTCTGGTTCTTCTGGCATATTTGATGATACTGGTTCTTTTTATGTACGAGACTTCATTAATTACTTAGCTGTCATTTCCATTTTTTCAATGTTTCTTTCTTAAATATAAAACATCATTGTAGATTGGAAGAATTCCGCTAGGACAGCAAATAAGCTACTTCGAAAAGACCAGATCACAGATACGGGAGACGATGGATGAAGAAGCTGCAACATATTTCTTCAAGAAGGCACTCTTTATTTTAGCAGCAGGATCCAATGACATCCTGGAGTATCTGTCACCTTCAGTGCCGTTCTTTGGACGAGAGAAGCCTGATCCATCACATTTCCAGGATGCATTGGTTTCCAACCTGACATTTTATCTGAAGGTTCTACCAGTTAAACGTCTACTGAAGTTTTCAGTCGATTGTTCTTATTTCGAAACTGACCTACATTTTTGTTTTCCTCAATGAAATGAAGAGGCTAAATGAACTGGGGGCTAGAAAGTTTGTTGTGTCCGATGTTGGGCCGCTCGGTTGTATACCGTACGTTCGTGCTCTGGAGTTCATGCCAGCAAGGGAGTGTTCAGCATCAGCGAACCGAGTCACTGAAGGTTACAACAAGAAACTGAAGAGGATGGTCGAGAAGATGAACCAGGAGATGGGTCCGGAGAGTAAATTTGTGTACACAGACACGTACAAGATCGTTATGGAGATCATTCAGAACTACCGCCAATATGGTACGCTTCCCTTCGTTGTTGCTTCTGCTTCTTGCAAAATGCAGGCCTTCAGATTTCAGTATTCCAAACTTCACACCTCCTGCTGTTACTGAACATACAAAGGGTCGCCTGTGGTAAATGAATTCTTGGCTCTTTGACACTGCCAGGTTTCGATGACGCGCTGGACCCCTGCTGCGGCGGCAGCTTCCCGCCGTTTCTCTGCATTGGCGTCGCCAACTCCAGCTCCTCGCTGTGCAGTGACCGCTCCAAGTACGTGTTCTGGGATGCATTCCACCCGACTGAAGCCGCCAACCTCATCGTCGCCAGCAAACTTCTCGATGGCGACGCGGCTGCGGCTTGGCCTATCAATGTCCGCGAGCTGTCCCAGTACGAGCACAAATGATATCGACGGACCGGCACCTCGACGTGAAGTGCAAGCTGGTTCACTGTTTCATTGGTTTGTCCTTGCTGTAGTTTCGTCTGCCTTGTTGAGTTTTTCCTAGGCTTGCTTGTGCTTGCTTTAGTTTCCTCTGGTTGACTAGGAATGGCTGCAAATTGGTCAATTTGTTCCATGTTGACGAGAAGAATGCGACCAATCCGCTCTTTTCCAAGTGCAATTTCTTCTTTTTCACTTTTTAATATCTTGGGTTTGGAACAATGTCCTCTTGCTCTACTTTTTTTCTGGGGTCTGCAAAGACTGAAAGAAAAAGAAACAGCCGCCTTCTCAGGCTACTACTAGTTGCTGTCTTCGAACGGTCGACGGGTCGAGCCCGGTAGTCCAACGTATGGTGCATCGCAGTCGCCAGCCAGGCCAACGAGTGGTGTTACAGAAGCGCACGATGACCCCAAGCAAAATTGAAGAAGAACCGAGCAAAAGCAGTGCGCATCTGATATTATCAGCCTGACCAACGGCAGGACCGCCGCCGGTGCAACGAAACGAACTCAAGGGCGCGCGGGGCCGGCTATATATGCACACAACGCAAAGCTTGGACCCGGCCGGTCGCGTGTCGGCTCTCCACTAGCAGCTCCGATCCACCATGGAGGCCGCCCCGGGGCCAGAGAAACCGGACCACCCCGCAGCCACGGACCCCGGCTGCCTGCTGCGGCGTTCTGCGCCGTGGTCGTCGTCGTGGCTGTCTGCCACGGCCGCGGGCCTCGTCGCGGTGGGGCTCGGTGGCGCGGCGCTGCTGGTGTGGTGGGCGCTGGCGTTCCACCCGGCGAACGCGCGGCTCTGGATGGTGCCCGCGGGGCTCGTCCTCCTCGGCACGCCCGTCCTGGCCTGGCTCTCCCTCCTCGCCTCCGGCCCGTGTGGCCGCCAGGCGCCACCGCCACCGCCACCGCCCGACGCTGGCGTGTACGCGTCAGCTTAGCTAGCTGCGCCAGCCCGCGCTGCCGCGCCTTTTTGTGTACGATCGTCGATCGATGTTCATGCTCAGTTGCTTCCGCGCTTGCTTGTACATACGTGTTTGATCAGAGCACCTCCATAGTTTTGTTTCATCATTGCTTCTTCACAATTTTGTAATATGGTGTACATACCTATGCTTACATGTACATGTTTCCTCTGGTTAATCTCTTCGGTACTTCGATCTTGCAAAAATATGTGTTCTTGCTAAGGTGCGTGATATGTTCTCAGATAGAGCGGGAAAGCGTCGACATGATGTGTTTACTTTGGTCGGTTCCTCCCTTCGATTCCTCCGGAAAGTGCGACCTCTCGGCAGATTTGTTTCGCTTCTCAGGTCCAAGGCGAGCGTACGCTAGCCGCCGAATCGTGTACTCCATTGATGGGCGTCTTGTCGAGAAGTAGACGTGCATTCTGCGGCCATGGGGCCCGGCTGTAGATATTTCTCACCGGGTAGTTCCTCAGTGGATTAACGAGAAGTGCCCCAAAAGTATCGTTGGCTAATTTGTTGTGAGAGAAAAATACTATTTTGTTGCTGAAAAAATATGGCTTATAGGCAAGCGAACGGGGCGAAAACTAGGATATTGGAACTGGACCGGCCGGTTCATTCGTTGGCACGGACCTGAGCTTATCCTAGCATAAAAGAACGCGTTCTTCTGAGTGCCTGAAGCACCAACCTAGGGATGAAACGGAGTATCTCGTAAGTCGTAATTGTTTGTATAAGGACCAACCGTGGCTGCGAAAGGATTTTGCTTGGTACGGAATGGCCTGGGAAGTGGCAACTGATATCCCAGAATTGTCCATTGTTTGACACACTACAAATCTACAATCCTCAGTCCTAGTGACGGCAAATTAAGCCATGTTCACTTGTCTTATGAGCCGTACTATTTCAGCGAACGAACATTATTTTTTCTCTCACAACAAATCAGTGAACAGTACTTTCAGACATGACTTTTCAGCAAAGCGAAAGGGCCTAAAACCCGTTGAGTGCAAGGGACCATATTAAATGTCTCTTCTCTCACTCTGTTTGGCCACCACCAGAGCCAGCCCATCCTTGTAGACCGTAGCGGTGTAGGGATGCAAGTCAACTCTGCTAACAGGTTATCAAGCCAGAACTCAGATGTTGCCACTGAAACCTACAATATAGTACTATCAACTAAATCCTCATTACGCAGACTGTTTTCAGGTTACTATTTAAGGCAAAATCAGTGTATCTATCTGTTCTAGCCTTCAGGGCCAAAAACTGCTGGACCAGTAGGAAAAAGGAACACTGGCTGTTTTCTCTATGGTTCATCATTCAATGGCAACATGAAAAACAATGGATACCACTAATTTGGATGTCTTGTTGCTTAACTATTGTACTTCTCATCAAACAAAAAAAATACAGATATTAATGTTTGATAGCAGTTGTTCTGCTTTGATTCAATATCCATTTTATTTCACCAATATTAACAGTGATGTACAGCCATTTCAGTTTTCAAGCAGTGTTTCTGGGAGTCCCTACAATCCGGTACACAAACAGCATTAAGGAGGGGAGAAAAGGCAGGAGTCTAAACTAAAAGGAACAGGTTTCAGATTTGCTGACCAGTGGCTAAGGTAGTGTTGAACCCTATTTAGATGGCTTCACCTTCATGTTGAACTTTGGAGCCAGGATAAGAAAACAGCTTGGTAGCATTCTTGTAACTCAGCTCCGCCAATTCTGACTCTGGCATTTCAAGGAGGGATGCGACATACTTCAAAACCTGGAAAATAAGGGACCCCCACAGTTTGTTAGAAGTATTTTCTCATCCCTCAATGCTTGAAACTGGCACTGGACTGCTTCAGCAATTTAAACAAAAGGACTTAAGTGTTAATAATATACAATCATGCTTTTCAAATTGCACACAGGAAGGAGAGCAAGCATATTTTGTTGTATATTTTTCTTAAGGTACATGAACACATAAAACGAAATAAGTAAGGAAAAAGCTTCTGGAAAGAAATTTTAGACAAGAGCATCCCAATAAAAAAAAACTTACGATATGGATATTTTCTGGATGGTTCAAGGACTCATTTGATGCATTAGCAGCCTGTGATTCTGAATCTATGTGACACTTTTCAGTATCTGCATCTGAACTGTGAACAGGGACTGATGATACAGAAACATTGTCCAATCTTGGTAATGCATCAGGTGCATCTGTCTCTAAAAGAATTCTATCCAAGGGTATCTAAGAAAAAAAAAAACCTGTTAACTAGTAAACCCTTCTGAGATGAAATATCATTAGTATACAATCAGCCTACTTACTGACTTCAGCATTTGCTTCGCTTTAGTGGATTTCATGCCTATCAAGAAGCCAGATAGTGAAAAGTAACAGCCTAAATTTGCAAGGCCAGACACCATTTCTGAAGATCCCATATAAGAATGTAACAATACGCCTGCTGGGAAAGGTCCAGTTTGCCTGGCGACCAAATGTTAACACAAGAAAGTATGTTAGTAAATAATAGCAACAAGGCGTTACGTGGGCATCTCACTCAGTAAGTCATTTGTGTCTAATACAAGCAAGACTATAATGGCCTTGGTTTCTATGTAACAGAATCACCATATCCCTTACATACAAAACGGCATGTGCCACATAGTTACGTGAGCAGTGCAAATTACGAAATTCAAACTGGATGTAGATTGTAATGAAGAAAAAATAGCATGTCTTACTTCAGTACTTCCAGAAGATCACCAAATGCCCGCACACAATGAACAGAAACAGGTCTCTCCAATTCCTTAGCAAGTTCAAGTTGTCGTTGGAACACTTCAACCTGTGATAAGACTTGTTTTGCTGTTGTTATGGACCTATGGGTATAAAAAATTAAAAGGGCACATTTGTGTACAAACAACTAAAAGCAGATCATTAATAGCTGAAATAGCAATATTCACCATGCAACTGAAACTTCTAACAAAACCGATACACAAGCATGCAACATGAAGTGCAGGGTTCATGCTATTGCTAAGTACAGACCTGTTCTCCGAAGTCGATGGTTTTTCCATGTGAACCGTTGTCCAGACCAATCTGCATTAGTAGAACATGAGACAAGAGTCAAACAAAATAATAGAGCAAATGAGGGGGGTCTGGGGGCCCTTAAGGCACATAAGAAAAAGACTAGGATTCATGGGAAATTCAATGGATACTCGAAGTGTGAATCCAGAAATGACTGCCTTAGCTATAGAACTAAAGAACAGAAGATGTAACAAGAGGGCCTAGGGGTGCCAGAACAAGTACCGCATTACTGAATCTGATAATCATTTGACCATAATAAAATAACCAAATTCCTGTTATGGAAGCCTTACTTTGCAGCTTAGAAGATCCAGAGGTCCAGATAATCAAATCAAATGCCGGCGAAACACCACTTTTATTAACAGCTTTACAACTGATAGTGGATTTGGAATTTTTGGATGGCAGAAAAGCTCACCTCCCCAACAGCCGCCTCTGGGGTTTCGGCGAAGAAACGCCGCAGCGAATTCATCCAATCCGGCGACCTCTCGGGTACCCACCTACCAAAGTGATGGGACCACGGAACACAGTCAGCAGAGCAACGCGAGAGGCAAGCAGGGTAACCTGAACTCACCATGGGTGCAGGCCGAAGCAGGGGACGACGGCTGGGTGATCCTCGCCCATCTGCTTCACCAGGTGCCAGTCCTTCTGCACGTGTCGTGTCGATTAAGGGAAGAGTCAGCGACGAGCTATGTACGCCCGTGAACCTGGAGCGGAGGGCGCACCTCGGAGGTGCCGTTTACAGCGAAGCGTGCGACGCCGGATGCGGCGGCGGCGCGTATGAGGGCGGGGGCGACGGCCGCGACGCGGGGGTCTTGCAGGTGGCAGTGCGCGTCGAAGAGCCGCACGGCGGAGGCGGCGCGCGCCGGAGCCTGGGCCATGACCGGCGATTAGCGGTGGACTTGGGGCTGTAGAGGCGGTGCAGCGGTGACCGGGAGCGCAGCGGAGAGGGTTTTTTGATGGGCGGCGTCGGTGTGCGTGGATTCGGTGTTGGCCCAGCAAGCGGCAAAGGATCGAATGAGCTGGCCCGGTTAACCAAATCCTGGGCGTAATGTGGTTGGGCCTTTTGGGCTCTATATCTGAAGGCCCGAGAGCGAGAAGAAAGTCCGCGATTTTCTACTTTGGGGTCCTACTAGGGCCAGAGTGGAATTGGGAGGCGCGACAGAGTGTAATGGTTCTTGGGCTCTTGGCTTCTTGCTTCTTGTTTGCAACAGGTACATCGTCACGATTGGATTTTCAAGTGTCAAGCATTCGGATGCTCATCTCGCATACTCCACAAAAGGAACGCATTGCTGGTCATCTCGCAAGCTTAACTTCCAAAACGGATCCTTCATCTCAGTTACTCCAGGGACCGCGGACCACGCCACCACGGATGCACGACCATTGGTGCTGCTCATCACTCTCCTGTCTCCTTAGTCATCACGCCCGCCGGCTCAGTAGAGGTAGAGCCACCTACGATCACGGCTAATGCACTCGTCGTGTACCGTGATAACGTGGTACGGGGTGCCGGGTGCCGGGTGCCGGGTGCCGGGTGCAGACTGCAGATTACAAAGCCGCAAAATCACCCGATTTCCCAAGACGGCACCGGCCGAAATGCACCAACCTGCACCCGTCCTCTCTGTTCTATTTTCTGTCGTCTGCATGGCTGGGGGGACGGATTACTGATATGAAGCATAATCGCGTCGACATTTGAACACCATGATTTGCAGGGCAGCAGGTAGCTGCCAAACCTCGAAATCACGAATTGACGTTTGACGATGTCCACGGGGCCACGGCAACATGCTACTAGGGCGTGTTTGTTTGCCTCCACGGCAGCTAGCGCCAGGCTCAAGAGATGCAACATCACTTGTTTGTTTACCTAGACTTCGTTAGAGCCTGTGCAGCACAGAATCCAAAGCGTCTTTGGGCAAGGCCACGAGGAAACGAAGGTGAAGCTCGTTTCTCTCGAGCACGGCTCGCTCGGGCTCCGATGTGGGGTGCAAGTGGTTGGTGAGTGTGGCTGACATGTGGGCCCTTCAGCGCAGCGCAGGCAAACAAACAACATCTGTGCACACCAGGCTCAGTAGATACAAGTCCACCAAACAAGGAGGAGTTGCCCAATCTAGCTTGTCTGAGAATAACCAGGCTCTACTCTTCCGTCCAGGGCAGCTCAGTGCAGGCAAACAAACAGACCCTAGTGTTCCTTGTGCATCACGCATGCTTGCCCTCTTTCTCCTTCGGGCGAGATACAACCAGGAATCCAGCGCGCCGATGGCAGGGCATGGGAGAAATATGCAGACATGGACATGACCATAACTATAGTACGTACACGAGGAATAACCGAATGAGCAGCCCACTGAGGGCATGTTTGATAAGCTGCCCCTACCCAGCACGGCTCCTATGGTGCAACGTCATATGTTTGGTTCACCTGGTCTAGACAAGCCTGGTTCAATTGAGATCGTGTTTGATTTATGGTCCAAGGAGGTATGGCTACTCTGTAGTACACATTCGGTAGCTTTACCACCACACTCTGACCTTTTTGACATTTCATCGAGCACCGCACCCACGCTAGGACCCGGCGACATGGGCAAGCTTCGACACCCAGCCATGGCGACGCGGCGCAACCTCCGGAGCCCGTCCATGGCGCGGGGTGGAGCGGCGTGACGCGGAGCGAGCTCGGTCCTCCGGCCATGGCGGCACGGGGCGAATTCTAGCCCTAGCCATGGCGCGGGGCGAGCTCCAGCCCCCCGCCATGGTGGCACAGGACGAGATCCGGCCTCGGCGGCCACCGTGAGGAGTGGCATGGGACGAGATCCGGTCATGGCGGCCGCTGTGAGGAGGGGCACCAGGGAGGTGGAGGTGGACCTGCACGAGACGAGGAGTTGGGAGTCGCGCAGGAGGAAGTGGTGGCCGGTGGACGAGAGAGGAGGAAACGGGCGATGAATCCACCGCGCCCACGAGCGCTGCAGCTAGCCAGGCCGAGAAGAAACGAACCTAAATCTCGTTTTGTTGGGAGCCACTTATTTGGATCCTTTAATGGCCATGCAAGCCGGGCTGAGGAACAGTAACAGACCATCAAACACGGGAGTTGCAGCCCGAGAGCGCAGCCAGGCCCTCGGGCCACCCTATCAAATACGCCCTGAAACTCCATCACTTGCCATCATTCTGTCTTTTGGTACCGTCAAAATTATACCAGTTCTAGCAATATCCCCAAAACTATTTTTTAATTTTGAGGTTATCTTCTACTTTTTGGTGCCATGTTTTTTAATTTAACTCCAACAATAACTCCAGATCAGGTCCTACTTTTTTTCTTTCAACAAGTGGATCCTACTTGCCAATAAGTCTTTTTCCCCCTTTTTCCACCTCTTGTCCTCTTCCTCTTTTTAGACAGTGACGAGGTAGGGTAGTACTAGGGATGTCAACGGGGAATTTTTCATCGGGGATGGCTCCCCATCCTGTCCCCGCGGGGAGAAACATTCCCTGTCTCTGTCCACACGAATGTTCACGGGTAGCTTTTTCTCCCATTTCTGTCCCCGTGGGAAATTTATCCCCACGGGGAACCCATCCCCATTACTAAATTTAATATTTGGAAAGCAAATGCAAATCCATGGTGTCAAATCAATATAAATTGAATAGCAAAATTTTATATTACAAGAGATATACTTTAGGGTTTGATTTGCTATTTATGCTAGGCTATGTGTTGAGTTTCTGGTACAATTTTAACATGCCAATGAGGTAATTTAGAGTAAGAGCAAGTGCGCGGGGTGGGTTCGTGGGGAACGGGGAATGGTTTCCCATCCCCGTCCCATGAACCCAACTGAGACTAAATTTTCTCCATTTCAATCCTTGTGGGGATTAAATTGGCCCTATCTGTGTCCCCTAATAGAGAAATTCCCCGTCGGGAATCAGGGGTCGGGTCCCATTGCCATCTCTAGGTCAGAGCTCAAGGAGGCAAATGGATCTCTAGCATGCAAGGTTAGGCAACCACGGTAGGACGACTAGAGGAGTGCGTAGTTAGGGTAGGGTCCCTAGAGGGATGCACAAGCAGTCAGAGGAGTGCCTCGCCGTGGTCGAGCAAACAGAGTGACAAACGAAGCGATGCGGCACTGATTGGAGGGACGTGTCACCGGAGTCATGTGAATAGAGGTCGGGCAACCGAAGAGGGCACGCAACGGTCAGTGAGCCAAACTCAACTATTCGTGGCAACGCACTCATGCACATGCGGGCCATAACCTAGATCTTTGTTGAGACCTCAAAACCAATGGGAAAAACAAACGGGGTGAAAGCTCTAGTTTGGTTTTGGTTAATTGATGAAATCCTAAGTGCTAACCTAGTTTATCAAAGTGATGATGAGATATGTAGCACTATTCCAAGCGGTGAAGCAAATGAAGATCATGACATGATGATGGTGATTCCATGGTGATAATCAAGTGCTTGGACTTGGAAAAGGATAAAGGAAAACAAAAGGCTCAAGGCAAAGGTATAAGTGGTAGGAGTCTTTTCATTTCGGTGATCAAGACACTTAGCGAGTGTGATCACATTTAGGTTCGATAGCCGTACTATTAAGAGGGGTGAAACTCGTATCGAAATGCGGTTATCAAAGTGCCACTAGATGCTCTAACTTATTGCATATGCATTTAGGATCTAGTGGAGTGCTAACACCCTTGAAAATATTTGTGAAAATATGCTAACACACATGCACGAAGGTGATACACATTGTGTTTAGCACTTGGGAGCAAGGGTTTAAAACTTCACCAGCGGAGTGTTCGCCCGTAGAGTGTTGACAGTTCGCGCGGTGCCACCGGCGTCCTATACAGAAAAGACAGGGTTTCACAGAATGCACCGGACACTGGTCACGCAGTGATCGGATCGCTGGGGTCCTGTGTCCGGTCAGTAGCAGCAGTGAGCACGCTGTCTTAGTCTTGTGACCGGATGCTGGCGCGAAGAGTGACCGGATGCTCAGGGCCTGCGTCCGGTCAATGCTGACGTATGCTGACGTGGTGGCGCACAGAGGAGACGGTGAGTGATCGGACGCTGGGTGTGTCCGGTCGGTGGTGACCAGACGCGTCCGATCATGACTGGTACCTTACTGGAAACGACCGGATGCTGGGGTCCTACGTTCGGTCACTTCAAAGCAGTGCGTCCGGTCACAACTTAAATGTACTGATGACCGTTGAGATCGGGCGATCAGTGTTTGAAGTAGGGGACACGTGGCACGCATTGCTCAGCGTTTGGTCGATCTGACCGGCGCGTCCGCCGCCTTTTTCAGTGGACTAAGGAGCCAACGACTCTATTTCGTGGGGGCTTCTATTTAAGCCCCATGGCCAGTTCAAGCTCATGCACTTGGCCATTTGCATTGATATAGCAACCTTGCGAGCTTAGCCAAAGCCCTCCCACTCATCTCCATCATTGATTCATCATCTTTGTGAGATTGGAAGAGAATCCAAGTGCATTGCTTGAGTGATTGCATCTAGAGGCACTTGGTATTCGTGTTTTGCTGCGGGGTTCACTTGTTTTCTCTTGGTGGTTGCCGCCACCTAGACGGCTTAAAGTAGCGAGGATCATCGAGCGGAGGTTGGTGATTGTCTCCGGCTCCGATCGTGGTGATTGTGAGGGGTCTTGTGCCTTCCCCGGCGGAGCGCTGAAAGGTAACTCTAGTGGATTGCTCGTGTCATTGAGCTACCTCACTTATGAGTAGGTTCTTACGGTGTCCAATTGTGTGGACGAGGTTCGTGCAACACCTCTTAGCAACCGAACCACCAAGTGTTGGTCGACACAACGGGGACTAGCATGCCAGCAAGCACGTGAACCTCGGGAGAAAAAATGATTGTCTCTTGCCCTTTGGTATTCTCCCGGTGATTGATTTAGTATTCATCTTGTGATTGGTTCACTCCTCTATACGACGGTATAATCACCATACTCACTCATTTATATTCTTGCAAACTAGTTGTAGCAAGCTCTTTAGTATAGCTAGAATTGAGAGCTTGCTTTGTAGTTTAAGTTCATCTAGTGTAGCTCTTTAGTGTAGCAAGTGTGAGAGCTCTTAGTGAGTAGTGACATAGCAAATTGTGTTGTTTAGTGATCATAGCAACTAAAATTGTTGGATAGGTGGCTTGCAACCCTTGTAGAGTTAGAGCAAGTTTGTATTTCGCTATTTGTTATACTAATCAAATTGCTATAGTTGGTTTGTAGATTTTTAAATAGGTATTCACCCCTAGCCATATTAGGACCTTTCACGGGGGCGAGGCTTGATTCTCATCAACGGGGCAGTGAGTAACAGTCGATGGCAGTAGAGGCGGCACACGAACGAGAGGAAGAGTGAGCCCTCCGTACGGGCATGGGTGGTAAAAGTAAAACGGAACAAACAAAAAAAGTAGGGGGAATGGATTACCTAGGAATAATAAGGTGTTGAGGGAGAAAGTAGAAATCCTTCTACATGTTTGATTCGAGGCCAGAGTTGGATATAATATGAGCATCCATTGATTTCGGGATAAGACGATTGTACTTGTTTGGTTGGATGGATCGGTTTTTTTTGTTTGGTTGGATGAATAGGAGTAAATGGGATAAGAACAGTTGACTAACTGTATCTTTTATTTACAAATAATAGCAACTAATGAATATGCACTAATATTGTTGTCATGATAATTACTAATTAAAAATAAAATATGATAATTAGCACTACTGCTACCTAATAGGCACACAAACCATGCTCTAATCAATATATTAGCACTTACCAAAACTAATATTAACATCATAATTATTAAGTAGTAATAATATAACATTCTAATAAGAATGTTTATTCACTAATGATGAAGATCATAAAATATGGATGAGCCCGTCCCGTAGATTTTCAGAGGCATGCTCCTTCAGCATCTTCAAGCAATATTCTTTTTTGGTGATATAGCAATATGTTGCTCCATCAAACACACTAGATGTCCAAATAGTGGACTTGCTGGGGTGCGTTGTTTGTCATTTGGTATTAAAAACAGAGTAATATATAAACTTAAGCAGTATGACTGCTCACTGCTGGAGTTGCTCCAACCTGTGACTAAATGACAGTGGACAGTTTGATCCGTGAACGTACGTCTACATGGCTTTTTTGAGATTCAAATGCATTCAGTATGATCATGTACAGACACACTGGCGTGCGGTCCAAGAATTACAAACTGCAAACACGTCTCAGAGATGGCAGTACTCAGCAGTTTTGATACTACTGTTAACATTATGCAATCTGCTCATGAAGCGACAAAATTTGTGGACGAGCTAGGCAGCTAGCTAGTTGCTGCTGGGAACGATGGTCACGCCCCCATCACATGATCTCTGAGGACCGGTAATCTACGTGTACTGGAGTAGAAATGAAATGGAATTTAGTTTAATTATACTTTAATCTATTTTAACATATGTAGATTGATGAATACATGCGTATCCAAATAAGGCCTGATTGGAAAATGCATGGGACCTACTGAGATTAGTGGATATACATGAAGCAGTTTAAATACTCCTATTGTACTAGATTACCGGCACAAACGTGTATACTAATACTACGAATCTACGATCCCATGTGGCTTTGTCGTTAGGATATGATCCTACACGCCTTGCAGCGCATGTCCATGGCTGCTGCTGCTGGCTCGGCTCTCCCAATATGGACAAGCACCTCGGAACTCGCTGCTAACTGCTCTATCCGAAGGAAAAAGGAACCATCGGATCACGGTCACTAGAGCACACAATTCCGTTTCCTCCGATCCCGATCTCAGTAGCACTGCAGGCAGCAGCAACCGCCAATCTTGCATCATTTGCGTTTCGACGAAATAATAATATTTTTTTCTTACAACAAATCAACATCAACATCAGCATCAGCATCAGCATCAGCATTAGCATTGGCCGTTTTTTAGGCAGCCGAACCGCTCCAGAGATCAGTTCAGGGACCATATCTAAAATTCCTTTGCGGCGCCGAGTGTATGATTGCACATGCGGGCGGGCATGCGAGACGGTAGGAGTATTATTCACCAGTGGTTCCCGTGTATCTATCAAACAATCGTGGCCAAGGATACAGTCCACTGGCTCGCGGCTCGCCTGTTAGTGGGGACAAATCGAAGCGATGGCCGATTCAGTTCTATACAGTGCTTCCGTTCTACTGTTCGCGGTTCGCGAATACAGCTGTTTCGACGTCTTCGAAACAGTATCTCAAACTGGCGTCCCTTTAGACCTTTTTCGAACGGAAAGTTTGAAAAAAGGAGGATTTTTTACAGTATGTACCCGTTCAATTCCGAGGGTCTGAATCTGAACGAGCTCTAGCCCACCTGCATCGTCGTCGCTTTATATTAACCAGCTCACGAGGAATACGAGACAAACCACCCAGCATATAAGGTCCCCGCCGGCCGGTGGCCACCGTCCAAGACTCCCGTGAACCGCGAGCGCGACACGAGCGCACACGTACACGTACGTACACTCTACGCCGCGAGAGCGCGAGGGACGATGAGCCCCGGCGCCGGTACTGCCAAGAAGCGTCTCGGCGTCGGCGTCGTCGCCGCCGGCGGGTTCGCGCTCGGGTGCGGGTGCAGGGACGCCAAGGCCGTGGCGGTGGCGGTGGCGGCGTCCGGGCCCGCGTCGCCCTACTCCGCTGCCACCACGACCACCGCCACGGAGACGTCGACGTCCACGGCGACGACCGCGACGTGGCGCGGGGCGAGGACGACAACGACGCACCCGTCGTCGACGGCGTCCGCGTCCACGGGCACGCTCACCGTGCCCTCCGCGTCGTCGTCGTCCCTCCCGTGGGAGGATGCGGACGCCGAGGGTGACGTCGAGGAGGTGAACTGCAAGAGGGAGGCCACGGTGAGCTTCTCCGGCCTGCTGCGCCAGCTCAACGAGCTCGAGCAGAGCGTCGTGTCGTGGGAGCGGAAGAGCACCAGCAAGGATTACTTGTCGCCACCTCCGCCGCCGTTACCAGCGCGGCCAGTGAAGCAACGAGATGTGCACAGCGGTGGCGGCGACAGCAAAGAAGGTCACGGCAACTTCTCCCCGCAGCCGCCGCCGGCGTCGGCGACTTCTTTCCAGTTTCAGATTACGCAGCTGCACCGGAAGACAAAGAGCATGGACAAAGCAGACAGACAAGTTGAAGCGGTCCACTCCAAGCAACCGCCGCCGCCGCCTCCACCTCCACCATTGCCATTGCCGCCGGAGCAGCAGCTCAAGGTGAAGAGCACGGACGACAAAGGCGGCAAGAAAGACGACGCCAACGTGTTCCCGACACCGCAGGCCCCGAACCACCTGGCAAGCCAAGAGCTGCGACGCCGGCGCCGGCCCCGTGAGGCTGGACGGGAGCGTGGGCGTGGGCGTGGGCGTTGCGGTGGTGAAGCAGTCCGACGACCCGCTGAGCGACTTCCGGCGCTCCATGGTGAACATGATCGTGGAGAACCGGATCGTGACAGGCGACGACCTCCGCGAGCTGCTCCGTCACTTCCTGGCGCTGAACGCGCCGCGCCACCACGACGCCATCCTCCGCGCCTTCACCGAGGATCTGGGACGAGGCGTTCTCCGCCAAGACGGCCCACGGCCGCCGCGAGCCCGTCGTCGCCGCCAGGACGACGACTCCGCCGCGCTCGCGGCCCAGGGCGCCGACGCCACCGCGCCGCCGGCACGCCCCGCCTCCGCGGTCGTGGCGCTAACGCGTACTGCGTGGTCACCGGTCACCACTTACTTGTTTACTACTAGCAGTACAAACAATGTAGCTGGCTCAACCATCCGTTGCTGCTTAAGCTCGATTGCTCGCAATGTCATCTGGCCGCCGTACCGCGAATCTAATCTACCGCATGCAGTAATGCAGATGTTCTCCGGATTTGTTTGTTAATAATGCTTTCCAGTTTGAGTTCTGTTCGACTCCAATATTCTCCAACCATACGATCCCGTGAACGGCAGTGTCGTTTTATTCCGCGCGCGCAAGGGGCACGAGGCAAGCCGACACGCGAGAGGGGCCTTCGGCCTTCGCCGTAAAACCCGTGGCCGCTTGCGGGAAAAACTGCAATGCAAATGCAAGCAGGCCGGGGGAGGCCAGGCGGAAAGGCGCTTCGATCGGCGGCATCGCTGCGCGCCTGCGAGAGAGGGAGGGCGACGGTGGTTGGATGGCTGGCAGTGGAGGGCCCGTGCATCGAGTTATTATGGTGGTGGCGACGGTGCAGTAGTGGTGGGCTTGTCACTTCACTTGTGGGTTGAAGTGACGCACGGGAGGCGGGAGCCAGGAAGGGAAGGGCAGGCCGCGAGCGTCGCGATGCCAAAGGAGAGGCAGCATGAGCCGTCAATGCGCAGCCTGTGTGGCGTCCTCCTCTGCATCTGCGCTTACCGTCCTGCAAATGACAAGTAGGTTCACGGCATCGGCACCAGGTTGATAACCTACCGTTTGTTTTTTGTGAAAGAAAAATTTCTCGGCCTAATTTCGTTGACAAGAATTTATCGGCATAATTCGCTCCCAAAGGTATGGAGCTAATGCGCTCCCAAGGTTACTGTACTATGATTGATTGTATGAACACAAAGCCATGGAAGTGGGGGGTGCGCTAGCTGGAAGACGAGACGGGTCCTCGACGTGGGCGTGGGAACTGGGAAATATGCTAGGATTCCAGGACTGGAGCCTGAAAGACTGAAAGGTACAGTAGTTGATTTGCAACCGACGCAAACTGGGAGGCGTATGGGCCAGGGCCCAGGGGAACAGATGCTGCGGGGCCGGTCCGTTGGGGCTGGAAGATTGAGCCCGTCTCGTCCACGGCTCCAATTTTCGTTCGCCACCACGACTGATGCTAGATTCTGCTACTCGGCTTGAGCCCAGTACAGTGGTCGTGCTCGTGCCAACGTGCGTTTCGCTGCGGTTTCTGTCCTTGCAGGAGCACTGGGGGTGGGCCAAGGGATCCGCTGCTGCCTGTACCCAATACGAAAACTTGCCGGACATGCCAGGTGCCACAGGTTACTACTACTGCACAACAACGTGTGCACTGCCGGCTACCTCTCTGACAGAATCATCGAACCATGAATCCATGATCATTCCTTGTTCAAGTACCTCCTTGGTTTTAAATGTACGATGACGTCGTGTATTAATAAATGGACTACTATTATGTCCTAAATAATCAGCCTATTTGTTGGGTCGTAAACGATCGTGGATTATAAGTCAGAATATTATTTTTCTCTCACACCAAATCAACCAGCAGTAATAATCCACGATCGTTTCAGCCGAAACGAACAGGCTGAATGTAGGTACATCATTGCGCAATGCCAACGATAATCAGATATTCAGATGCAAAGCTGGAAGAACAAGCCAAACGATCGACCCGACGGCGACAACACACAAGGTACAAGACCACCAGATAAGAATAAGATGAACGACAATGGGCAACAAACTATACATTCTTTCGACTTCGACATGTCCTTCCCATACCTGCCTGCTGCCTAATCAAGTAGACAAGTAATCATGCTGGTTGAAACAGCCAAATGGCAGATTACTTCGTACCAAGTTCTCGATTCTGGTTCATACTTCGTACCAAGTTTTCGATTCTTGTTGGAGACCAATGCAATGATGCATCAGATGCGAGAGTAGATGATAGTCGTTGCAGGATTCATGTCCATCCTCCACCGCTAACAAAATTGATGTACACGTACCCTGTCGAGCGGCTTGTGGAGACAGCAAAAGCCAACCAAACGTTCCTGTACTTTGCACCGACGAACGTCAGGCAACAACAGGCTGAGATCATTCGTCCGCCAACACTCGGCCCACGAAAAACGTTGCAATCAGCACATTGGCTGCTGAAAACATTGAACAAACTTATCATTAGCAACTATAATACAGAACACTAAATGCTCTTTGGTACAACTACAACGAAAGGAAGGCGCACCGACAGCTGATCCAAAGTTCTATACGTCTACAACTAATTAACAGAGCAAGCCGTATATGGTTACACGTGGCCACGGGCCGAAGAGTGGTGAGCAGGGGTGGATCTAGCATGAGTGGCATGCGCTCGAGACTCCGCTACTGCTACCTGAAGCATGGAGCCTCTCCTAAGCCCTTCTCTTTTCCCCCTCCTCCGAATTGGTAACGCATAAGAGCTTGGAAGGAGGGGCTAGAGATGGAAAATAATAGGAGAAGCCTCTCTTAACTTATTTTCCTAAATCCGCCACCGGTGATCCGAGCTATTGCTAATGTGTTTCGTTAAGTCTTGCGGCCACGTTGTGCAGGATGATAGGTGATACCAGAGTCTTCTTATCAAGCTGTTGTTGCCGATCTCGTGTAGGTGTAATAGTGTTGTTGTGGTTGTTAGTATATATCGTCGTTGTCTCCCATCCGTGCACTAACCGTCCACGATGAGGGGAAGACGATCGTCATGTCGTTTGTCTCGTTGTTTACGGTTTTGACTTGCGCACCCACAACCTTAGGAAACATCGAGCGTGCTTCACCGTGTGGACACCTAGTGGGATCCTTCGGTAGGGCTCCAAGTGTCCAAGTAGTGAATGGGGTCTTTCAAGAGTTCCGATTCCATATGGAGGGGGTATTCATCAATGGGGATCTAGCATAAAACCGACATGTCGGCTTGTAGTCATAATTACACGGTAGATCTTGTGGCAGAATCGCCTAATCTAATGCTTCACAGGAGTACTTGTCTTCCATTAGACACTAAGTACTCAAGAGAGGTCACTAAACTACGCAGTTCCATCGAGCACACCCCAAGGGAGAACTTGAAAATCCATATTTTTCCATCAGGATCATAAATGAGAGAATATAGCTTACAACATTCTTAGTCCATTTCTTACATCACGTTATTACAGTAACAGAATATTACATCAATTGATTATAACAGCGGAATATAACAATGTTATCAAAGCTTTCAGCGAAAATGTATATAACGACAAGTTTAAGCGTTAACATGAGGAACATTTATATACATGGAATGATAACATGCTGTAAGTCTTTTTCTTTGCAAAAACATTTTGTGAAAATTTTGAATAAACTCTACGTCAGCAACGTAAGGAAATCCTCGCTGAGCCCACCAGGAGGTTTCCACACACAAAAGGCGTTTACCATTCCTCGGTCACCTGCAACATGGGGAATAAAACCCTGAGTACTCGATTGTACTCAACAAAACTTACCCGACAGAAGAAAAATAAAAGACTCCAAGGATATGCAAGACTTATTTGGCTTATGGATTATTTCATCTGCGGAAGCATTACTAAACGTACGTCCTTATATTTAATTTTATTAACAGTCATCATTAGTTCATTAACTAACCATTCTATATAAGCACCTATGCTACTTTCAAGCATATGGTAAGCAATCAGAACCATTTTATCACCTTTCAAGTTCCAGTTCTTACTATGGTGCTAGACCATAGCCAAGTCGGTACCGTCTCACAGAAACGGTGATTCGTGAACCAATGTATCCTAGCTAGGTACCCCTGAAAGGTCCTTATGGCTAGAGAGGGGTGAATAGCCTATTAAAATTTCTACAACAACACTTAGCAAACCGGTTAGACAAATAAAAGGCGAAGCGAGTGTTACGCTAGCCTACTAAAAATGCAAGCCACTTACTACAATTCTAATTTCTATAGTCTTTATCCACACAATGGCTATGTCACTACACTAAGTTAGAGTGCTCTCAAAGGCTAACTAAAGAGCCACACTAACTAAACTAACAAGCTCTCATGACTAGCTACACTAAAAAGCTTGACAACTAGTTTACGGTAATGTATAGAGAGAGTAAGAATGATTATATCGCCGAGTCATTGAATGAACCAATCAAGAATACCAATAAAGACCAATCACCTCAGAATCAAATGATGACACAATGATTTTTACCAAGGTTCACTTGCTTACCGGCAAACTAGTCCTCGTTGTGGCGATTCACTTACTTGGAGGTTCACACGCTAATTGGCATCACACGCCAAACTCTCAATAGGGTGCCACACAACCAACACAAGATGAGGATCACACAAGCCACGAGCAATCTACTAGAGTACCTTTTGGCTTTTCGTCGGGGAAAGGTTAAGAACCCCTCACAATCACCATGATCGGAGCCGGAGACAATCACCAACCTCCGCTCGACGATCCTCGCTGCTCCAAGCCATCTAGGTGGCAGCAACCACCAAGAGTAACAAGTGAATCCCGCAACGAAACACGAATACCAAGTGCCTCTAGATGCAATCACTGAAGCAATGCACTTGGATTCTCTCCTAATCTCACAAAGATGATGAATCAATGATGGAGATGAGTGGGAGGGATTTCGCTAAGCTTACAAGGTTGCTATGTCAATGCAAATTGGCCAAGGGAGTAAGCTAGAGCTGGCCACATACCTTTAAATAGAGCCCCCAACAAATAGAGCCGTTAGGCTCATAGAGCACCGAAACATAGGCTGACCGAACGCGCCGGTCAGGTTGACCGAACGCTGGACCCCTGCGTTCGGTCGCCCGATGCTCGCCACATGTCTCCTCTTTTGAATCTCCACCACGCGATCTCAACTGTCATCGATGCACTTAAGTTGTGACCGGACGCACTACAGTGTAGGACCAGACATAGAACCCCAGCGTCCGGTCACTTCCAATAAGGTTCCAGTCGCGACCGAACGCGTCCGATTATAAGCGACCGGACGCAGACAAGCCAGAGTCCGATCGTTTCCAGAGAGCTCCCCGAACCTCTATTTTGTGACCGGACGCGTCTGCTCCTGTACGACCGGACGCAGCACCTAAGTCCGGTCATTCTCCAACTGCCACGCATCACTGTTGTTCCTCACGCTACCACATCAGCGTACGTCAGTACTGATCGGACGCAGGCCCTGAGCGTCCGGTCACTCTATGCGCCAGCGTCCGGTCACGAGACCGA